TCACTCAATGTACAAAGATAACAAACAATATGAGTAAATAAATATAAAATCAAAACAAGCCCAATAGAAGGCATCGCCTGTACATGGACCAATAATTTAAGTTGAAACTGTAGAATGCAAATGACAAAAAAGAACAAACATTAGCTACAGTAGATTATGTATTTAGTTGATGTTCGTATTTATGAGTTTATGAATTTCAGTCCTAGATATAGAATGTAGCCACTTTTTTAAATTTATTTTGAAACAATTTCCGAAACGTAAATCTTTTAAGTCTTTAGGTATAATTTCATAAAATTTAGGCGCTAAATAGAGATATGATCGCTGCATTATAGATTTATGCGGTTGAGGAACTACTGTGCCACGAATTTTGTACCTGGTATAATGATTATGTTTAATTTTTTGGTCGGTGTTTACAAATTTATGGTAATGAGTGATACTGTGTAAGAAATAAAGCTGTCTTATATCATACATTCGAACATCTGCGTATAATTTTTCAGTGGGATAAAGTTTCGGTTTTTTAAATATCATTTTTAGAATACTTTTTTGAAAAACATCTAAATTATAGATATGTGAGGAACATGCAGCTCCCCATGCTAATATACCATATGTGAGATGAGGCTCAATCAGTGCATGGTATAATGTTCGAAGATATTTTTCAGTCAATATTTTCCCAAGGTATTTAATTTTATAGGATACAAATCTAACTTTCTTTAAAATACAATTGACATGGATGTCCCATCGTAAATGAGGATCCAAGACCACTCCAAGGTATTTTATGTTGAGCACTCTATTAATTTGCATTTTTTGATCTTTAATGTTGAAGGAGAAATTTGTGTAATTTGGCAGATGTCTAGCATAAGATCCAAATGGTAAAACATGTGTTAGTTAATGCTTAATTTTCTACTGTTAAACCACCGAATAATTTTGATAAAATCATTTTCAATTACATTTTTCAGATCAGACCAGTCAGTGCCTTCATATAATATTGCAGTATCATCTGCAAAACTAGTTATTTTGCCAACACAATTAATTTGGAAAATATCATTTAAATATATATTGAATAACAGCGGACCTAAGACAGTTCCTTGTGGGACACCACACTTAATATACATTTCTTTACTAAATGATCCTGATATCTGCACAGATTGTGGGCGATTTGACAAATAATTTTCGATCAGTGAGTACGCGTTTCCTCTGAAACCAATTCTCTCCAATGCTTAATAATAATTTGTGATTAACTGTGTCGAAAGCTTTCTTTAAATCAACAAAAACGCAGATTGAAGGGATTCTCTTATCAATATTTTGATGTATTTGATTTACAATTTTAGTTATTGCGTCCGATGTAGCCTTCCCTTCTGTAAATCCATATTGATTTTCACTTAAAATTTTGAATTTTGTGAGGTATCGAATCATTCTAGTAGATAAAACTTTTTCAAAAACCTTTGCTACACTGGATATTATTGATATTGCTCTATAGTTGTTAACATCTGTTTTTGTTCCTGATTTATGTATCGGTATTATATTACCTTTTTTAAAATTGAGGGATATATGCCAGATTCAAAGCATCTGTTGATTAGGTAAGTGAGTGGTTCTGTTATGTCCTCGGCTATAATTTTCAAATGCTCGCTTTTAATACCATCAAACCCAGGACTTTTCCGATTTTTTAAGGACATAACAGTGGTGTATACTTCACATTGCTCGACTTTATCCAAAATAAATGAGTTCAAACTTCTTTTTGGAGGCTGAGTATTTTGTACATTTGATAAATTTTCGCCTATGTCAGTAAAGAATTGTACAAATTCATCGCATATCTGTTGAGTAAAAATACTGTTCCCGATGTTGTATTTAACTCAGTGACACACTCTTTAACTTTTGTTTTCCCAGTAATCTCATCAATAGTTGTCCAAAGCCGCTTAGGATCATTTAAGTTATTATTCAATTTATTTAGGTAATGTTTTCGTTTGGTTTGCCTTGCAAGCTCTATAAATTTATTTTTATATTGGTTGTAGCAGTCGGTATTCTCTGTAGATGGCGTTAGTTTCATTACATTATATAGTCTTTCTTTTTCTATTGCCGATGTTATTAATCCTTTGGTAATCCAGGCATTTCTGCTTTTCTCTTTGTGACTAATTATTACTTTATTGGTACTAATATCTATCAGTTTTTTTATATTTTATATAGGTCTGTAGTTGTAAGAGCCGGTGTTAGATTCCTTTTTTTGGGACATGACCAAAGTTTTCTGGGAGAGTACCGGATGCGTAAGATATCTGTAAGAGACGCAAAAGAACTGCAGCAAGCTCCGCTGTACATCTCTTCAGCACAGTTTCGAAGTAGTTTTCGATCTGAAAATTCAGATACTTAGCTTTTTAGATACGGATTCATTTGTCCTTTTTGAAAAAATAAAGGTTTAATACCGGAAATTATGGCAAGACTGACAATTAGATTAGACGTTTTAAAATAAGATGCGCATTAATTAAGAAGACAGGTACATTTATGTTAAGCATATCGTACTAAGTATGACGTTAGACGTTTATTTATGCTGACTGGTATGTGAGATATGGCATCATTACTATGCGATATGACTATGTTTTAGCTCTAATGATAATTTTAAGTAACTATTATCCACACGTCTGTAACTGAGCAAATAAACATAACGGAAAGAAAAAAAGAGTTTTCCCTTTCACATCTAGGTACTAGATGTATGGGGTTGTCCAAAACGGACGCAGGAAAGTAAACGCATATTAAAACAAGAAAGATTGATATTCAAATCAAGTTGGGTACTTTATTTTGAAGGTTCATTTATACCATTTATGTATGAAAAATAATATCGCTCAAATGTTCACCACGACTGGATTTACAGACGTCCACGCGATTGTCGAAATTTTCAATGACATTTTGCAACATGGTCGGTTCTATGGCATTTATCTCGGCAATGATGTTGTTTTTGAGTTCTTGGAGGGTGGCTGGTTTGTTGACGTAGACTTTGCTTTTCAAATATCCCCATAAAAAGAAGTCCAAGGGAGTCAAATCGCACGATCTTGGTGGCCATGGCAAATTTCCTCTGCGCGAAATCACGCGATCACCGAAGGACTGCAATCGATGGATATTGACGTTGGTTGTGTGGCATGTTGCACCGTCTTGTTGGAAATAAAGATCGTCCATATCCATTCCTTCAAGTTGCGGCAAAAAATAGTCCTCTATCATCACGTGATATCGATCAGAATTGACGGTAACGGCATCCCCGGCCGCATTTTCGAAAAAGTAAGGTCCGATGATGCCTTTTGACCACAATGCACTCCACACAGTCACTTTTTGAGGATGCATCGGCTGCTCTTGATACTCACGGGGTTTTTCGTTCGCCCAGGTGCGGCAGTTTTGCTTGTTTACCGTCCCATTCAAAGTGAAATGCGCTTCGTCGCTGAACATGATTTTTGATGAAAAATTGGCATCAATTTGGCGGTGTTCAAGGAGCCAATCTGAGAACGTTCGGCGCGAAAAATGGTCGGCCCGACGCAGCTCTTGCGTCAATTGGATCTTGTAGGCGTGTACATTCAAATCCTTGTGGAGAATGCGGAGCAAACTGGTTCTCGAAATGCCCAATTCTTGGGATCGACGCGTTGTTGATTGTTTCGGATGGTCTCTCACACTCTCCTTCACAACAGCAATATTTTCCGGTGTGCGAACGGTCCTTGGCCGGCCAGAGCCTGGCAGATTTGCCACAGAACCTGTTGCCTCGAATTTACGCACCAGACGACCGATGGTTGTTTCGTTTGGGCGGTTGTTGCGACCGAAATGTTCACGAAGTGCGTGTTTTTTTATTTTTGCACCATTTTTGTAGTGCTCCTGAATAACTTTAATGCGGTCTTCAATCAAATACGACTCCATAGCGATCAATGGTAAACATTCAACTAACAAAATGACATGTCGGTGACAGAAAACAAAGATGGCGTCTATGTCAAATTGACGTTTACTTTCCTGCGTCCCTATTGGACAACCCATTACAAAGAGGCCCAATATGAACTAATGTTAAAACCTCACTTTTTCCGCTCCTGTGAAATGCCCCAAAAATATGTAAACAATTAAGAAAATACCGACGACAATATGTGATGGAAATCCCTGTAAACTAGACCCAATATAAAACCCGTAATTTATCTGATGCAATTAGAAAATTTTCACAATAACTACTAAGGTGTATTCATATCCCATCTAAATAAACACCAGCGCGGAATGTTTAAAATCGCGCTCTCATTTTAGCCTGGTTGGGCAGCGACCAGCTTGTAAAAGCGATCATTCTGTGCTCATGTTTGTTTTGAGGAGGAAGGTAGTCTTGACTTGCCAGCTAAGATACACAGTAAAAATGTTTATTTTCTTCATCAGGACATACTACCAAGAATATTGAATGGGAATTAAAATCATTAAAACATATCAATGAACTACTTACAACGTGACGTCCTCTTTCAGGATGAAGAATAAAAGGAGGAAAACCGTTAATTATCGTACATCAAAAATGCACAGTTTGCAAAATAAAACATTGATCAACACGAAGAGATTGAAAAAGAATAAAATTATTTCATTTCCCTTGTATCAGTGTGTAACATTTTGGCGGTTGCTAAAAGACGGCGAATTCGGTGTAAAAGCCAACAAGTTGAATTTTAATAAATATGGAACATGAAAACATAATTGGGCATGAACAATTTAATATGTTTCCAAAATCGAAAGAACATTTTGACGCGAAATAAATGAGTTATAGTTTTTATGTATGCCCTTGCGTGAAATATGAAAACTAATGAGAAACATGGGAAAAGTTCGATTGCATTTCTCTTTCATCGAATGGACAGTAAATAAACGAGTAGTATAAACAGTATCAATCCCTAACATTCAAAATCAAGTAGGGTTGTCTAGGAAAGTGTGTAATATTCCGCTACCGCGAAATACTAGACAGAACTTAAAAAGCTCGTAACTGAGACGACAGCATTATTTTTAATGCTCTTTTCCAACCCCTCACACCGTGAATCAAAACCTATTTCTAATCTTTCCAATCATGAAAATATTTTATCCATTTTTTTATTTTTATGTTTTCACAAGCCTAGATAGCTCACCATTCTTCGAACTAGTATAATAATAAAACGTGAATAGGTGCTTCTTTTTTAACTGTATATTTAAAGAAGAAATGAGGTAGGTAAAATATGCGATATATGTATAATCACATTAACAATACATTGAAAACGAAATTTATCTCGTAGTCTAGGCAAAGTTAATTTTATTTGCTTAACTTTAGTTATGGATTTCGACTTTTCGTATAAGTGTGATCAAAGCACCTCTCTTTAAAGTCCTATACGAAGAACCTTGTATGATTTGATAACTTACTAATATCAGCCTTAGGTGCGACCTAACCTCTTCAGATTTTGACTGGTCAATCTGTTTTGATGAAACTCGCACTCAAAACGATCACAGCGACCCATGGAATGCGCACATAGAAAATGGATTCTAAGAGGTGCTTTGAAACATTTTTTTTCAACTATTATGTAGGCACATTATTAAACTTCAAAAATACAAAATTCGTAATTTTGCAAATTGACTGCTATCCGCAAAAAATATCATTTCTTAAGTCAAATCAAGTGACATGTTTAATACTGAACAAGGTCTATCTATGCAAATTGCGACTGAAGTTATCAGTTGTCATTACAGTGATGCAATTTTTCGAATCCTTGGTATGTTCTTTTGTTGTAGGAAATAATATAAAACAAAAAATGCAGGACGAAATAAGCAATACTATGGACACTCTTACAAATGCCGCTGATTATACTATTAGCGGTCTCATAAACACCTTCACAAACTCCCAAGACGAAAAGGAAGATGACCAAGAAAAATTCGGTAAACAGATCGTAGTTTCTCTCGTATAACGTTGAAAAATTCAGTTTGTTTCAGAATGCTGATTGAAACATTAAAAGGCAGATTCATACCTTTGCAATATACAGGGTGACTTCAAAGTTGAGTCATTTATTTTAACATTGAGTAGATCTGATCAAAAGAAATGTTTTTTTCCTTTACCATTTTTCTGGTAAAATTAAAGTAACAAAGTTATAGCCCTTTGGAAGTTTGAGTACCGCCCTGTCTCAATAATAATATTATGTGCTCGTGTTTGGCGACAACGGATATAATCCGCCTTATCGGTTCATCGCATCGGAAACAAAAAAGCGAAAGAATTTGGAACGATGTTTTTACAATTATTTCATTCAGTTGTACACAGTCAGTGAGTGAATATGGTGACTGTTGCGTGGCTCAAACGAAATAAAAAATGGCACATGTTTATGCGGATCGGTTTCCCAATCGAGTGCAACCAACCCCTCGTGCCTTTGTTAATGTAGTACAACGGGCTCGTGAATCAGGAGACTTAAGACCTCACATGGGGACTGCATGCCGGTGCTCCAAGACCTCACGATCAAATACAGGTCCGCACTGAAATACTTGTCGGGAGGATACTTTTATTTTTACACACATATTTTGGTTTATCTTCCTTCTACAATCATTATCTGAAAATTAATGACTCAACTTCAAAGTCACCCTGTATAAAAAGCAATAGAGAGAGATTCAAACTTGTCGCGGAAACAGAGATCTTGAAATGGATTTTGGAGTACACAATATAATGTACAAAATTGTTTTCTAAAGCACTTAATCATCGGTTAAGAGCATCTGCTGCTAGCCCTGCTTAGTTAAGTGTAAGAGTTGAGTTATTGTGGGGAAGCATGTGAAAAACCTTGGAGTTTTTCAAAAGATCATACCCAGTTATCTGTCTCCAGAACAACTAGACCAATACCGCACTGATCAATTGTTCCCGAGTACGAAAAGTTACAGGGATGGAAAGGAAATATGTCCATTTCAACAGTTTAGTTAATCTTCGTATTTTAGGTTTAGTTGAAAGCATTGTAGCTCTGTGTAAATATGGACGCCCGTTATTGTTATTGTCAATTATACTAGTGGCGTTCGTGCGATCAAGCCTCCTTGTTCATGTGTAGAAAGAATTAACCTTTTTCCTTCAATTTTGGCGGCAGTCAATTTGTTTGGCGGCATCCTTAGATTATCGCTTCCTAATGATGAGTTGAAATCTCGGAAACCATCGATCTTATGTAAAAAAGTATCATTTTCCTTATTTAAAAAGTTGTCATACCGTCAACAGGTTACGAGAAATTTGAGGGTAAAGGTATGGTTTATCTGAAGTCACTTGAAATAGCATAAAAACCTTTGGTCGGCGCGTCCTTTGTAATTTCATGACGTATCATAGGCGTGCGGTCATTTATTTAGAACGATAATAATAATGTTTTTATATCACAATAAATGGATTTTACTATCTTCTTATTTTTTTGATTTGGGATAAAAAATACTTATATTGGGAGTTTCATTTATGTTGACTGAAAGTTAAGAAATGGAAAAATTACAGAATTCCAACGTTTGACATAGGCAAATATTTACATAGCAGGTAGGTATATAAAAAGGTATATAAAGACTTACATTATAGGTATTTATATATCATCCTCGCCTTCGGAGCTGTCGCTAGAGTCATCTTGTAGAGGAATTACAACGGGATTTACAGGAGGCAAAACACAATATTCATTTTCTTTTTCAATAATATGCCTAGATCACTGCTTCCATAGGTCTGTGGCAGCAATATGAGATACTGCATCTCTTATTGTGGCCAATAGCGATTCACTTAATTGAGGGGTCTGATTATGTTTTCTTACTTTTTTTTTAAAGCAGCCCAGACCAACTCAATCGGGTTAAAAATGCAGTAATAGGGAGGTAGACGTAATACTTCATGGCCATTTTGCTGAAGCAGATTGTCAACAACATACTCTTTTTCAAATTTTTGTCTTTTAATAAGATCCAATAATATGGCTTTGGTTGATTTTTGTGGTATTTCCATTTCCTTATCCTTCATAAAATCAATAATGTCTTGTTTTTTTGTGCCTGTATTCGGAATTTTGTTTTTCTGTCGGGAATGGTATGGCGCATTGTCCATAATAATCACTGAATTTGGGGAAATGTTTGGTATTAACTGCTGCTCTATCCACTTTTCAAATAAGTCGGAGGTCATGTCCTCATGATAGTCGGCACACGATTCTTTGATATTTTTGGCAGGTAACAGCAAGGCATTAGGTATAAATCCATTTTCACTGCCAGCATGGAGAATAATGATTCGTTTTCCACGGTTGCATGGTGCATTTAAAATGCACTTGTTGCTGTCGTCAACCCAGCCGTACCGCACAACATCATGGGTATCATACCACGTTTCATCCAGGTAAATCAGATTTCTTTTCTGCTCTCTATAGATTTTAACTTTGTGCAAAAATTCTTGGCGCAATTCAACGATTCGAGACGACTCCATAATCACCATTCTTTTATCTAATTTTTTGTACTGAAAACCACACAGTTTTACAATACAGTGCAGTGAGTCTAAGCATTTGTAATTATAAAAATCTTCAGGATAATCTTTTAATTTATCCCGTATCATTTCCAACGTGGGCACCAAATTTTCTTTATAAAATCCGTATATTATACGACGAATATCTTCCTGAAAACCCACATATATTCTTTTTAATTTTTGCCCTATGCGCTTTCTGTGGAAGGAATGGTTGACTACATCTCCCCTTTTTATAACCCGATAAATGGTAGACCGACTGATTTTTGTCAGGATACAAATTCTGTTTAAAATTTGATTTTGCGAGGAATCTGGATTTTCGTTTTTCAGACAATCATACATATTTAGGATTACTCTTTGGGTCTGTTCCTCTAAATCTTTATGAAAGAATTCTGCCTGCACAGGTTCATCAACCATCTCCTCGTGGCTTGGAGCATTTTCCCAAGGTCTCCAAAGAGCCATATTTAGGACACACAAGAACAATCAACACAACAATTAAATCAACAAGTAAACTGAGTATTCAAAAGTCAAAAACACACAAACTAATAAAATCTATGAAAAAACACGGACAGACTAAAGAAAACACGTTTATTCACCGCTACACCGCACTGGCTAAACTGTTTCAATTTTCAGTAGCCACCTGCACTTGTTCGGAGCTCTGAAATACACGCTTTCTCATTGGCTATGTCCACGCATAGGCGTGCTTTACTCCACGTGGACCGGTGAAACTGCCTTTGATCTTATACGGGGGATATTTGCTGCGAAATTTGGCGATTTTTGCAGCAACAGAGCGTGTTAAATATAGATATATAAAACGCACCCGGTATTTCACAGTGTTTCAAGTGACTTCAGATAAAGTATACATGTAATAATATATTCGTTTATGAACAGCTTAGACCTGACTTTTCAAACGCAAGTTAACTGTAACTTGGCTGCTAACCAGAAGTTAACTTTCAGTAAGAGTTTTTCAATTCAAGTTAATTGCTGTAGTTAAATTCGTAAAATCGTAATGTCTGACATAATGTGCTCGACAGTGATATAAGCTATTATGGATGACATGAGACACAAATACCGAACATCACAAAACACGATAATTCAGGTATCAAAGCAGCATTGCCGAATCAACGGTTTATAGAGGGTTAACTAGACCTTAACAGAAACGAATTGACAGGAGACTGATAGTTAACTTCCAAGTCATAGTTACCCTTAGGTACTTGAAAATTAACCAGCGATTGCAAAACAAAAAAACACATACACAAAGAAAAAGGGTTTGTTATGTTCTTCCGACACCTTGATGGTTCTTCAAATATAAGAAGCGAAAGTTAAAAATTCGTATGAGAATAGTCGCGCGGCATACTGTTATGCATATGTCATCAAACAACATGTTTTCATGTAGGGATAATCCATACGTCATTATCTATGAACAAGATTTCATTTCAAAGTGAATGCATTTTTTACTAAGCTATGTATCGAAAATGTAACATTTTTGGATAAGTCTTCATCATCAAAATGCACTTCCATCAGTCTGTCAATTGGCCATTTTGTAACTGCGTAGCATCAGCAACCGTTGCAAATATTTTTAAGGAAAGCGAGTGATGCCATAAGCCAACATTATCTTCTACATCTCATCTTCCATCAAAATCGCTGCACTGTTTACTGAAATTACTCAGTGACAAAATCGACAACAGACAGACTGATGGGAGTGAGTCACTCTATCTTCATGATCACAAATTGTCGAAAAAATATTATATTTTTTATACTTTCAAGTAGCAGTAAAAAATTGATTCACTTTAAAATGGTATTTTTCATAGATAACGTTTTGAAATTATCTCCAGGAGAAATACACTAAGTGACATATAAATCCGAACACCTAGTTTAAATGGTTTTATTTTAATAAAATTTGGTGAATGTATTTATCTTACTGTAAATAACAAGTGAAAAAATTTTCAGCCTTATCAGTTGGACATTCCGTTTTTATACTGCTTTTTTTTAATTCACTAACGCTCTAAAAATGAATATTTCAGCCGCAGTAAAGAATCAACGTTGGCGGATTTTGGTTCCTGACATCCTTTACGATCGGTTACGATGCCTAGAGTACGGAGACCTGTACGATTTCGTCAACTTAGTGAGTTTGATAGGGGACGTATAGTGGGACTTCGGGAAGCTGGACTTTCTTTTCGGGCAATTGCAGTTAGAGTGCAAAGAAGTGTAGACACTGTGGCTAGGTGTTGTCAGGCATGGCTTCGAGAAGGCCGTACGCAAAAAGCAAGGAGCACTGGACGCCGCCGTAGAACAACAGACCGTGAAGATCGCCGCCTAAGATTATTGGCCTTAAGGGACCGTTTCTCCACTACCAGGTCCATTGCAAATGAATGGTTTGCAGAACACGGAAGACCTATTGGCATGCGAAGTGTTTACCGACGAATGAGAAGTTTTGGCTTGTTTTCATACCGGTCACACTGGGTCCTCCCTTTAACTCAAGAACACCGACGTAATCGCCATGAGTGGTGCAGACAACGGTCACTCTGGAATCAGGAATGGAACAGTATTTTTGTGGCAAATTTCATATTCTACAAAAAATAGTAGTGTTTTAGATTCTTAATATAGCCATTTTACATGTATCTTTACCCTTTAATTACAAGCACATTTATCCTTTAATTTCTGGTAATCTGTTGACTATATGACCATCTTTAATAGAAGCAAAATGATCAATATTTTAATTCCCTGCAACATTGTTTACATTGCTTTTTTATATAAAATCGCTGGTATTCGAGATTTTTGATCAAAATGCCACGACTGCAATTTGAACTTATTACTAAGAAGCAATAATCTAGTGATACCATAAACAAAATTTACTGCCACCAAAACTTATAAAAAATCTGCCTATTTCTTAACTTAAAGTTTTGCGTTTGGAAATAAAAATTATTTCTTTAATCAGTACATCAATCTGTTTATCCTTATAAGGCCCCGTTTTTCAATCGCTGGTTAACTTTTAAGTTAGGCAACTATGACTTGGAAGTTGACTATCAGTTGCCTATGAATTCGTTTTTCAAGTTCTGGTTAACAATCTGTAAATCGTTGATGCAGCAACTCTGCTTTTAGGTTTGAATTATTGAGTTATATACGTTTTGTGATGCTCGGTATTCGTGTCTCGTGACATCCTTGAATTGTTGTCGAGCACATTAGGTTTGACAATGCGGTTTGACCACAACTTTATAGTTACCCATACATGGTTCTCGGATTGAAGTCAACTACCTTTTTAGGAGAAACTTGACATTGAAAAACGGTTTTTTCTGGTTAGCAGTCAAGTTGCAGTTAACGTGCTGTTGAAAAACCGGGCCTTAAATTACAGTTTGAGAAAACGACACTTATTTTTGCAGTGACTTACAATTGTTTGCCAAACATAGAGTTCATGTTATTTCCATACCATGTTTATATGACATTTTCCACATTTTTCCGATATGAATCTGCCATAAATTTTCCCTACAACATTCTGTAGAACCGTTTATAAAGTAATTTCTTAGTTTTTTTGAGTTAAACTAGAATTGTATGTATACTGAGTTTTTGAAACGTTGAAAAACGAAGGTAAATCTACCGCTTACCTAGTCCAAAAACAGAGATACGGATAAAAGAAATTCTACGAAAATAACTAGCGGCGTTTTTTTTAAAACTATAATAAACTGTAGGTATATTCTTTTTGTACCATCTCCTTGATTGTAGACTTGTATCACTTACAAGGTCACATGAAGATTCCTAGTAATAAAATTATCACCCAGCAATCACACACACACAAAGCACGATGCACCCGACACAAAACAAACATTGCAAGACTGATATCATTGATCACGTTATCATTATTATCTGTAATAAGAAAGAGTAATTGCGTATTCAGATTGTGCGTGTGAAAGAACTGTCAAGAACACTTTCTCTAATGCGTTGGGATCAAGAGGTGTGATAAACTACGAAAATTAGCAAAATTGAATTATCTCAAATTGAATTAAGACCTTTCGGTGGGTTTGTATTAAATTAAAGGATGTTCACGTTATTGTAATTCAATTTTAAGTGGGATTTACGAAACGGTCACTTATTAAATAAACCATAGAATAGAAGATATGCTCGAGCGAGCTTGTAACGGACAAAGCTTAGAATCAGAAATAATAAACAAAAATATAAAAAATTATACAGACTTTTGGTATATAAGGACTTGACCACACCTATACTATAACTATCTAAAACTGTAATGACTCATCGATGTTCACGTGAACATCACTTAACTACCAGTAGTCGGCTGTTCATAGGCGGGGTATGAATGTTTAACATGGGTGAACTAGATTTGTCACATGCTTAATAAAGAGTGGTTTGAAACATATTGTAAGTCAAAAATTTTGGAATTACCTTTATTCATCGTCGCTTCCACTTACATTTGACAGTAATAAACTGTCGCTATCGCTTTCCTCGTTGAAATTGACTATAACTGGCTCTATGATGGTGTCCATGTGGTGGTCAAGCTGCTACATTTTTGTTTCTTCCTTCACAAGATGACGGATAGCATTCTGCCAAGCTTCGGGCGTTACTAGCTGTATGGAAGTCTCAAGTAAAACCTTATCGTCTGGTAATTTGAAGGTTGTGTTATGGCGCGCAATATAACCCTCACTTGAGCCCAGATGTGCTCTATTGGGTTCAGTTCACAGTGGTAGGGCGGTAACCGCAGCACAGTGACACCACATTGACGGGCCATCTCATCAGTCACGTAACTAATGTTCGCAGGTTTGTGCTGTTTAATTTTTTCATACAATTCCGCTTCCACACATGAATCGTCAAACGGGATTCCTTTTTCGCGCAACCATTGCTGCATGTCACTTTTTCGAGATCCCATAGTCGGTACACGTTCGGCTCGACGACTATGGTAGGAAGCATTATCCATGACGATCACAGAGTTGGGCTCAACTCGCTGAAGCACCCCTTGAAACCAGCTCTCGAAGCAGCTGGCATTCATTTCGTCATGGTAATCACCTCCTTTCTTAGAGACGAAAATCAAGTCACACTCTTCTAAAAAGCCACTATCGCTACCAATATGAGATACGATCAATCTTTGACCTTTCCCTGACGGACCACGAAGACCTGTTGACAAACCTTCAATGCTTGCTTGTCGGTTACTCACTACGTTTTTGTCTATCCAGGTTTTTTTAACTGTGTGACCTGCATTTACCCATGTCTCGTCCAAATAATAGATTTTTCTGCTTTGTCGCCTATATTCAATCGTTTCGCGTAGGTATTTTCGACGCCAGGCGACTATTTCAGGTCTCTCTATCAATACTGACTTCCGATTACGCGTTTCGTAACGAAAATTAATTTCGTGCAGGGATTTTCTCATTACCTCGACGCTCATTTGGGGTATAATTTCATTTTCCTTGATCGCTGCATGTACAGCCTTGAGGGTTGGTATCTCATTCCTAAAGAAGAATGAATGTACGGTTCGCCTTAACGCCATTTTGCTATCGTCATCCAATTTAACGGCCTTTCGTCCCTTCAAATTAAACTTTGGATCAGTAGTAGCTCCAGTTTTCTTCTTTTCATGCACCACCCTGCGAATGGTCCACTCTGGAACGCCTGTCATACTTTCACAACGCAAGAGTGCACCTCCCTGCGACATAGTTCTGTTCAGATAATTGAACACGTTGAGCACGATTTCTTTCGCGTCCCTCTTCAGTGCTTTACGAAGCCGTCTACTTGTTCGCTGGCTTTCAGTACTTCCATTCGTGCTATTTGTACTCTTCATGGTTATGTATAACCAAAACAGTAACCACAGAAACCGCAACAATAACAATCACACAACAATTCTTATAAAAACACACAATATGCGATCGCTCAACGAAACACGTTCCAATGCGTTGCCGACGCCTATGAGTCTGCCGGTCGAGGCGCGTCTTTGATTTCATTGGTTCTACCGGCGGATAACAATCAGCCATATTCCCATCTCTGTCTGTGCTGTTGACCACCGCAAAGCCACAGAAACGACATATGTCGTACGCTATACGGCTGTACTGGAAGGAAGCCGGGATCGAGCTCTGATCACGTGTCGATCACGCGTATGAGTCATTACAGTTTTAAATAGTTGTAGTATAGTTAGCGGTTGCTCATAAAATACTTCATTCCGTATTAACCAAGAATCCAAACCAAACGGATTGATTTCTGGTAAAGTACGTTAACATTACAACATACTTGCGACGGTACATGACATTTCGCTTTGACACGAGTATCCGGCAGTTCTGTACAGACAAAATGTTGCAAATAACGAAGTTAATGTGCCAGAAACATGTTGAGCGACATATTCAGACATTCTGTATATAGACAAATATGAATATTTACCTAAATACCTTTAGAAAACGAATTCATACTTCGTTGCTCCATAAACAAATGCGTTATTACTAGAAAAACTAAATTCCTTGTGTTTAGATTATCTGCAATGAACACAATACAAGTCTGAATATAAACACTTTTTTATGAGGGACAAAAATATGTAGACAAATCCTTTTCAACATTAGTTTAGTACAGTTTCGTGTCAGAAGAGGATTAGTTTGTGTTCATCAAGTATTACAATATCGAATACGTGTGAAATTTACCAGGGTCGCAAGTGGTTGTTGAAATGAGTATGCCAGCAGTGTCTTAGCATTCCAGTGACAAGTGAACGACTGTTTTTTGCTTTGATAAATTGATTTGCTTGCCTTTATGCTTGAGGAATGTAGTGAATATGAAATATTTTCCAAAGTAAAAACTAACTATTTTTGTTAAACAATGTGATCAATGATATATTTTGTACCTGAAAAGAAATGTATTGACATGAAAAATGAAAAACCAGACAGTGAATGAACTTTAAGGCCTGTTAGCTAAGTACGTCAGTACAGCTCCTAATTTTTCAGTTTCTAAATAATTTCTTCCATCTAGTATGCATATAAGAACATTGTGATAATTTTTGTCTTCCATTTTTCAGAGTACACAGACTCGATACAAAACTACAATTCTAACGAGGATGAAAGTGGACCTAGTACTTCTGGTACTTCGAAACGGAAACAACGACGTTATAGGTTTGTATAGATTCACCGAAAATGTAATCAGAAGGTTGGAGCGATACTCCTCATCAAAAGAATGGCGTCAAGTAGGTTGACTGCACTTCGCACGCAACGCCGTTATCGGTTTGTAAAGGACCAAGCTCAGAATAAGTTAGATCCTCTAAGAAAAAAAGTTACTCACAGAGAAATTAGATGGATCATGTCAACCAATTAGTTCATATGCATAATTTCCCAGTCCTAGCGAAAGTATCGTCTATCTGGCAACGACGCGTCAGGCGCGGGGCGTGGCAGTAAATTGCAGGACACTCATCGAGACTGGGACGCCCGCCGGTGAATCCAGAGAGCTGAAGCAGACACGCGTCTCGAAAACATTTCTCTATCATTCGGTTTAGGTAAAACCTACGGAAATCAACGTCAAGCCGGAAACGGGGGAAAAGACAAGTAACAATATTTATCAGATAAATATAAAATATCCAAGTCGTGCACTTTTCAAATTATAGGCTTTAAAAAATCGGAAAATATACACCCTTTGATATTTTAGTTCCCATTACTAGAAATTTCGACTTTTTCTTAGACGGAGTGACGGACAAGATCATTCTACGTAATGACAGCAAGACTGTGTGAAAATTTCTTCAAAATTCGAGCAGCACTTTCCAAGTTATCGACGTGCCAATGGTTAGCGGACAGAGCGACAAACAGACCGACAGAAATGAGTAACATATTTTTTCGGTATACACGTCATATAACAGCGGCGTGGATTGTAAAAACAGAAAGTCATTTGGCTAGAGACTCGTGCTATTCAGAAATGTCTCCCCCGGCACTTTCTTGAATTGGTCAAGTTAGCAAGTTAAAGTTCATGGTAATGGAATTATTGCAAGAAAACTAAATACAACATATAAAATGCAGGCCCATATTTTTAAAATGGCTGCTGGGCGCCATCTTGGAACACTCTTTAAGTGGAATCGGTGGCCATGTAATACCTTATTTTGAAACTTTCAATGCGTAGTTGGACAGTTTTTAACTTTTTTGAATATTCAACTATTTTATTATATTTTTGGATTGATCCTTCCAACTGATGTAAATCCATATAACATCTATAGCGTAACCGTTAGAGATACTGACAATTTTGGCAAGTTTACTCGTAAAAACAACGTTGTGAATGTTTTTTGTAGATAAGGCATAAGGCATCACTGAATTTCTAGATCAATACTGTATCTGCTTCTTTTTTAAATGTGTTTCTGATAATGTTATTATTAATACGTTTGTTTAAAATATGTTTATGATGTTTCTAATATATGTGGTTTGTGTCTTGGAACAACAAATTTAATTATACTAAGTGACATATAAATCTGAACACCCAGTTTAAATGGTTTTATTTTAATAAAATTTTGTATAAGTACTTAATGAAGCATAATAAGTAAATGATAAAAATTTCAAAATGATTGCACTGCTTTAAAGCCCTTTGACCTTTAATAATGTGTGGATGCACCCTGATGTGCTACACATTCTCCAACGCGCCTAGGCATGCTTCTGATCAGATGGTCAATGTCCTCCTGTGGTATCTCATTCCAGGCAACCACCAACTCCTCTCGAAGTGCTTCTAGAGTCTGAGGAGGACGTTGCAAATTGAGCAATCTCCTACCCATCATATCCCACACGTGCTCAATTGGGGATAAGTCGGGAGATCTTGGTGGCCATGGTAACAATGTGACATCATTATGTTGAAAGAAGTCTATTGTGACTCTTGCAACATGTGGTCGGGCATTATCTTGTTGGAAAGTTGGATCTGCCAGGGTGTCAAGATAGGGTAAAAGATGGGGTTCTAGAAATTCGTGGATATAACGCTGCGCGTTCATGTTACCTCTGATGAAGATTAAAGGTGATCTGGAACCATAAGCTATAGCACCCCAAACCATAACTCCAACAGTGTGATGAACATGTCTTTCAACAAAAAACTGTGGATTCCTCCTTTCACCACGTCGCCTTCTAACCCTGGCACGACCATCGTGCATGCCTAAACAAAATCGAGACTCGTCACTAAAGACTGTTCCATTCCTGATCCCAGAGTGACTGTTGTCTGCACCACTCAAGGCGATTACGTCGGTGTTCTCGAGTTAAAGGGAGGACCCAGTGTGGCCGGTATGAAAACAAGCCAAAACTTCTGATTCGTCGGTAAACACTTCGCATGCCAATAGGTCTTCCGTGTTCTGCAAACCATTCATTTGCAATGGACCTGGTAGTGGAGAAACGGTCCCTTAAGGCCGATTTACATTTCAATAAGTACAGTAGCGAGTTAACTTGCGTCATCGCCGAGTTAAGTTGTTATTGTCATTTGAACGGCAAAAGCGAGTTAAGTTATAAGTTGTTAATTAAGTTGACTTGAATAGATCGTTATCCTATTTTTCGGCGAGTTCAGTGCGAAGGGGCCCCCTCCCTCGCGTCTCCCGCACCCTCGCCAACTTAACTGGCTGACGTGTAGACGGCTGAGTTTAGTACAGTCCATAAGTTTGCGCACTGCGACCACGTGTTATTATTTTGTCGTGTTAAAATGAAGTGGTCTGATAATACTACCTTTGCATTTGTAGAAGAATACCTTAAACATGAGTGTTTATTTAATACAAAATGCAATAATTACCGCAATAAACTCGCTAGAGATGCGGCAATTATTAAAATTTGTGTGGTCATGAAAATAAGTGATTTCGGCCCGAAGGAGGCTATCTCTAAAATAAAAAGTATCAGATCGACATACAGCCAAGAACATGTAAAAGTATTGATACTATTTCTCTTATTATAGCACGCACATTGGTATTAAATAATTCAACGTCCATTTTCCGGATTTCCCGTTTCGAATGAGAAAAACAACCGAAGGCGCGACTAGTGCTATACTTCGAACGGCAACTTATGACTCCTTAACTCGCGTACGTTTGGACGCCACTTAATACTTATTACTTAATACTTACCTGACTGATTTCTTAACTCGCTACTGTACTTATTGAAATATAAATCGGCCTTTAAGGTCAATAATCTTAGGCGGCGATCTTCACGGTCTGTTGTTCTACAGCGGCGTTCAGTGCTCCTTGCTCTTTGCATACGGCCTTCTCGAAGCCATGCCTGACAACACCTAACCACAGTGTCTACACTTCTTTGCACTCCAACTGCAATTGCCCGAAAAGAAAGTCCAGCTTCCCGAAGTCCCACTATACGGCCCCTATCAAACTCACTAAGTTGACGAAATCGTACAGGTCTCCGTACTCTAGGCATCGTAACCGATCGTAAAGGATGTCAAGAACCAAAATCCGCCAACGTTGATTCTTTACTGCGGCTGAAATATTCATTTTTAGAGCGTTAGTGAATTAAAAAAAAAGCAGTATAAAAACCGGAATGTCCAACTGATACGGCTGAAAATTTTTTCACTTGTTATTTACAGTAAGATAAATACATTCACCAACTTTTATTAAAATAAAACCATTTAAACTGGGTGTTCGGATTTATATGTCACTTAGTATATTTGTTTTAATGATTTGTTTCTGAATTATAAGCGATTCAATGTAAAAAAACGCTCAACTTTGACAGTCTGTCGATTTGCCATTAAGGAAAATAACTAATTCATATTCTAGAGTTATAAAGTCATAAGGAGCTTCAAAACCAGGAATTATTTGAAAAATCATCAAATATGGCGTCCAGGTGTCACGAGGTGGTTAATTCAGTGATACTGAGAAGAACTCATACGAAAAATGATAATCTTTGTTAAAATTTCTGGTCCTGCTGGACTTCTAGGAATTCGAAAAAAAATCACCTACAGTATATTCAGATAAGAGATAGACCGGATGTAAACAAAAGGTTCGGGTGATTTTCACGCTAACGCCGCCGTCTCGACGTAAAACAGGAGCCCTCATTGGTCAATTCGCAATTAAATGCCTATGCCGAGCGGCAGAGCAGTCGTATCAAGGCAGAGTCACATTCAGGTTCAGACGTGTTACGTACTCGTATGTCGTGTGCATCATTGCAATTTGATATTTCTTTGGACGTTTTCGTTTGTTATCTTATTAAGTTGTTGAGTTTGTCGTTGTTATTGTTATACCTTGTTATTGATTGTTATTGTTATCAACTGCTTGCGCAAAATGCCCAGTAGTACAGATACAGTACAGTACAGATACTGCCGATGAAGTTGTAAACTCCTGTAGTCCACCTAGGAAACGCTCTAAAAAAAGACACCTGAGTGCAGAAATGAAAGAGGTCATTTTGAATATATATAAGATCTAGCGCGAGGAGAACGAGGCATCAACCATCAAAGAAATTGTTGTGAAGGTTTCTCACAAAGTTGGAGTGTGTCGTGCATCAGTGTTTAATGTGTTAAGACAATACAAAAAAATCACACCTTTTCTGAGCCAATGACCAGTAAACATCGCAAAAGTATTGTTAAATCATTGGATGAAGCTGATAAGCATGCGATTAGGAGGAAAGTGCATGAATTCTTCTTTAGGAATGAAATACCTACTATAGATAAAGTACTGCAGGAGGTAAATGGAGATACAACGTTGCCAAATTTCAAACGATCAACTTTCCATGCGTTACTGAAGCATTTAAATTTCAAATGGAAAAAACGGGGTCGTAATAGTTTACTACTGGATAGAGAAGAAATTGTGCTATGGAGGAGGGATTATTTAACAAAAATTGGAAAATATAGAAATCACAACAGGAAGATTTATTACCTTGATGAAACGTGGGTAAACGCAGGACACACTACAAGTAAAGTATGGGTTGATGATTCTGTAACTTCATCCAGGAGGGCCTTTCTAGATGGACTGTCCACCGGATTAAAAAATCCAGCAGGTAAATACGAGTAATAGACAACAATCGGATGTTTTTCAAACCTTGGGAACAAGGTTCTAAACATTAATTCCAGGGGGCAGATAAAACATATTACAAGTAACAAAACTTTTATAACTTTCGATAAAATACGTGGATGTTTTATTGTCATTTTCATCTGTTAGAACTTTTTTAAGCCATGTTTTTATGTGTTTTCGATATTTCAATAATTTTTTAATATAATCTTAAAATATGTCGAATATTATAAACTTAAAAAAAGTTACTAAGTTTTATATTGTGTACCGTTCCTAATAATTCTAATCATTTTAATTCATACTTTAAGCTTTATAAAGTTATAATTTGTTAATATTAATATTTGCGCGTATTTCAGGTTCCTGATCATTCATTTTTTAAAGGTTTATAACTTTAAATTAAATTGTGAAGCGCTGAGAAATCATACGACGTTCAATATTCTTTCTTTCAATATGACTAAATAATCCCAATTATAGCAATCTGATACTCATGTCTCAATGTTTTTTCGCTGAATGTGATGAAAACATTTGAAAAAGGTTCGCTTATTGAAATAAATCTACACCAGTTAGTACTTGGATTTCCAGGTAAAGGGAAAAGGCTCATTATCTGCCATATTGGCAGTGAGGATGGATTTGTTGTTGACGGTCTGTGGTGCTTTGAGTCTAAGAAAACTGGAGATTACCACCAGGAAATGAATGGCGAATCGTTTGAACAGTGGTTCTCAAAAATTTTACCGAACTTAGAGGAAAACGCAGTAATTGTGTTGGATAATGCGCCTTATCATTCTCGAAGAATGGAGAAGGTCCCAACAACGGCTTCAAGGAAAGTCGATGTTCAAAATTGGCTCCGCTCGAAAAATATCAACTTTGAAGAAGCAATGCTGAAAGTGCAATTATTAAGAATTGTCAAGGATCACAAGGCGGAATATCAAAAATACGCCATTGACGAAATGGCAGCAAGTCAAAATAAAACTGTGCTCCGTTTACCTCCATACCATTGCGAGTTCAATCTCATTGAGCTCATATGGGCAGAGGTTAAAAATTATATAGCTAAGCATAATACAACTTTTAAATTTTGTGACCTCAAAGGACTTTTCAAAGAAGCACTAGAATTAATAACAGCGCAAAAATGGGAAAACTGTATTAAGCATGTGAAAGACAAAGTTGAAAAGAGAATGTGGGAACTGGACAATATTTTAGAGGAACAAGTCGAGCCATTCATTATTGACGTTGGTGCTTCAGGCAGTAGCGATGATGAAAGCTCATCAAGCTCATCTTTCCAATAAAAGATGTCGTTCATCAAATTCGGTAAGTTATAAGTAATTATAAAGCTACTGTATTTTTTAATTAATTATTGACATTTTTGAACCCATTTTGGCAAAACCTATTCAAGAATCTACTTTCTGACAATGTTCAACCATGCACATTTTTTTACGTTTTGAACGTTTTAATTTGGTTACATATTTACCTAGAAATCAAAAAATATACTAATCGATATTCTAAAAGCAATTTTAAGAGATATACGATTATTTTTGATTTAGGCTAATTTAAACGCCATTTCGAGATTATATTCGACTGTATTTCACCAAACATCAGGCGGCATCCGAAGCTGGAAATCGAAGCGAAAATTTTGAAACCCTTATGTATATTTACATCATTATATATTTCTTACCCCACCCCCACATGATCCTATATCCATCACCAATCGTATACACATCGAATTGTGCTAATTTACTACAAAGTTACGCAAAGCAGCATCTACTATCTAAAATATGTACTGCGTGACTCTTAATACGTCCCTGTCGAATGTTACAGCGTTCGATGATCACGTGGTCTTGTTTATGTCCGGTCTATCTCTTATCTGAATATACTGTAGTGTTATTACGATTCTCATCATCATCAAGTTTTCGAAAACGAAGAATTATCGGACCTCGGTTTAGACGAACTTTTATATTTGGAAACACTGAAGGAACCGCCCATTGACGTATTTCATAATAAACACGTCGTATGATACTTTTTTTTATCTCTTATCCCAACTTGTAGAACTACTTTTTCGAATTACCAACTGGAAGAGTTAGAAAGAGCATTTCACAAGACACACTATCCGGATGTCTTTTTCCGTGAAGAACTGGCTCTAAGAATAGATCTTACAGAAGCTAGAGTTCAAGTGTGGTTCCAAAATAGGAGAGCTAAATGGAGAAAGCAAGAGAAGTCTTTCAACAAAAATGCAAATATTTCTAATGCTAGTATAAGTGTACCTGTAAGTCTGCCAGGTGAGAATGTTTTAATATTTTGCTGCAATCGCATATTGATTGTTTCAAGAAAATAAAAATTGATTTTCATTAAGGATTATTTGCTTTAAGAGTATTCATAAAAATCTTTTTCACAACTTGGGAGACAAGAGACAGACTCTCGATATTTAAAAGCATCTCTAAAAAGAGAGTTGATGTAATAGATGGTTTAGATGATTTCTATTAATTTTCAAGAATAGTATTTCTGATAAATTTTAAATATTGTTCAATTCGTTATTTTTACTTGATACTGGGTGTTCATTTGAAAACATCCCACCATAGATTTATCGAAAATCACTGATTGAAAGAAAATATCATTGTTTGGCCAATAACGAGCAACATGTTGAACACTTATTGAAGTAAAATGATATTTTCGTCTGTTTTTGTTTTCTATCTGAACATATTAAGATAAATAAAGGTTTTTCTAATTTTCTTGAAGACGAATCGACCGATTTTGAAAAGTCAAAATAAAGGATTTCGAAAGACCTTTCAAACAAGCTATTACTCAATATCCCCTGCCGTGTAAAATTTTTAAGACGATGACCCTGGGGGGCAGGGGTGAAAGGTGTGAAGTAGTTTTTGTTTAAAAAGTTGTCCCCCTTGACAGATCTTTTGACGTATCTTGGCGTTTTTTCTTTTAATCAGTGGTGGAAGGTTTTCAAATGAACACCCTGTATAATGATTTTTATAGGATGTTAATAGATTGTGACGAGGTTAAGAAATAATCCCTCTATTCTAGCATGTTCCCCATCGATGGAAAGTTCTCTGCTGAATTTCTCCAACGTAGATCAGAACAGCGCCACAAACATGTTTCTGGGACTTGAATGGCCACTGTCCTTCAACAACACCAACAACAGTATCAATGTCGATAACCAGTCAGTCACCACAGAAAGTTGTGATATCGATAATCAAATGAACGATAGAATTAATGATACCATACTAATAGCAGGTATTTAGAAAAATCACATTTATCAAAAACACAATCTTGGATCATGAGTTCATAAAGGTTTAAGTTAAGTACTCTGAGCATTAAAACTAATCAAACGGATCAAGTCAGTCAAACAGGCAGATACAATTAGCCCATAGACATTCTTTTCCTGCCCTACCAGTAATTACCGTCCATCTGGCAATGTTGCCTCTCACCATACCAATCCAGGATTCACAAAAATGTCAAAGAACGACGTTTAAGCGATTTTTATTTTTTTTTTGTTTTTGTAGTATCCTTGTTAAATTTTTATCCAAATCCGAGCTATTCTTTCCAGGTTATACAGGGTGACTTCGAAGTTGAGTCATTTATTTTAACAGTGAGTAGATCTGATCAAAAGAAATGTTTTTTTCCTTTACCATTTTTCTGGTAAAATTAAAGTAACAAAGTTATAGCCCTTTGGAAGTTTGAGTACCGCCCTGTTTCAATAATAATATTATGTGCTCGTGTTTGGCGACAACGGATATAATTCGCCTTATCGGTTCATCGCATCGGAAACAAAAAAGCGAAAGAATTTGGAACGACGTTTTTACAATTATTTCATTCAGTTGTATACAGTCAGTGTCAGTCGGTAGTGGATAGTGGTGTCTGTTGCGTGGCTCAAACGAAATAAAAAATGGCACATGTTTATGCGGATCGGTTTCCCAATCGAGTGCAACCAACCCCTCGTGCCTTTGTTAATGTAGTACAACGGGTTCGTGAATCATTTGACTCAAGACCTCACATATGGACGGCATGCCGGTGCTCCAAGACCTCACGATCAAATACAGGTCCGCACTGAAATACTTGTCGGGAGGATACTTTATAAAACAAGGTAACATTTTTTTTTAATTTTTTTTTTATTTTTACACACATATTTTGGTTTATCTTCCTTCTACAATCATTATCTGAAAATTAATGACTCAACTTCAAAGTCACCCTGTAGAGGCGGCCAATGATTAGCAGACAGACCGATGAACATGAGTGACATGGTTTTTAGTAATGAACATGTCATATAACATCCAAAAAAAATAATATTTAATTTTACCAATTCTGAGTTGAGTAGGACTATTACTATTATTACTATCACTACTACAGTTAGAATTTTTCTTGAAGGGAATGAATTTATACGGGCTTATAGGAAAAATCCTGGAGAGCTTAAACCCGGAGATTCTGCAATTGTTGTAAAGGGTTGTCCAATAGGGACGCAGGAAAGTAAACGTCAATTTGACATAGACGCCATCTTTGTTTTCTGTCACCGACATGTCATTTTGTTAGTTGATACCATTGATCGCTATTATTGAAGACCGCATTAAAGTTATTCAAGAGCACTACAAAAATGGTACAAAAATAAAAAACACGTTTCGCGCGCTTCGTGAACATTTCGGTCGCAACAACCGCCCAAACGAAACAACCATCAGTCGTCTGGTGCGTAAATTCGAGGCAACAGGTTCTGTGGCAAATCTGCCAGGCTCTGGCCGGCCAAGGAGCGTTCGCACACCGGAAAATATTGCTGTTGTGAAGGAGAGTGTGAGAGACGATCCGAAACAATCAACAACGCGTCGATCCCAAGAATTGGGCATTTCGAGAACCAGTTTGCTCCGCATTCTCCACAAGGATTTGAATGTACACGCCTACAAGATCCAATTGACGCAAGCGCTGCGTCGGGACGACCATTTTTCGCGCCGAACGTTCTCAGATTGGCTCCTTGAACACCGCCAAATTGATGTCAATCAAAAATCATGTTCAGCGACGAAGCGCATTTCACTTTGAATGGGACGGTAAACAAGCAACACTGCCACATCTGGGCGAACGAAAATCCCCGTGAGTATCAAGAGCAGCCGATGCATCCTCAAAAAGTGGTGTGCATTGTGGTCAAAAGGCATCATCGGACCTTACTTTTTCGAATATGCGGCCGGGGACGCCGTTACCGTCAATTCTGAGCGATATCACGTGATGATAGAGGACTATCTTTTGCCGCAACTTGAAGGAATGGATATGGACGATGTTTATTTCCAACAAGACGGTGCAACACGCCACACAACCAACGTCAATATCCATCGATTGCAGTCCTTCTTCGGTGATCGCGTGATTTCGCGCAGAGGAAATGTGCCATGGCCACCAAGATCGCGCGATTTGACTCCCTTGGACTTCTTTTTATGGGGATATTTGAAAAGCAAAGTCTACGTCAACAAACCAGCCACCCTCCAAGAACTCTAAAACAACATCATTGCCGAGATAAATGCCATAGAACCGACCATGTTGCAAAATGTCATTGAAAATTTCGACCATCGCGTCGACGTCTGTGAATCCAGTCGTGGTGAACATTTGAGCGATATTATTTTTCATACATAAATGGTATAAATGAACCTTCAAAATAAAGTACCCAACTTGATTTGAATATCAATCTTTCTTGTTTTAATATGCGTTTACTTTCCTGCGTCCAACCCCATATTTTATTTTGCTCTGAAGACATTTTTTTTTCATACATGGTTAAAAATAAAATATTTTGATAAGAATTATCCTGCGGATAGGTACTTTGTTGTTTCAAACGTGTCCTAAGTTCAAAATCTGTAGAAAAGAACTAGCCTATTTTTAATTTCCGATATCGATTTTGTTGAATAGTCACTTCATGTTAAACATTTTCAAAAACCATGGCTCAATAGTTCCTATGCTGTAAAGAAAGAGAATCCCAAAAAGGGTTGTGGGTTGGTTTTGCTATAATGCGACGAAATAGTCTCCATAAGAGCTGGAGCCTGAGCGCCGGATGGGTATTTTAGTGCTGCCACTATATCCATATGCAAATACCTAGAGAATTCCAGCTTTTTTATGATAACCACAACATATTTTTTTCAGATAGAATAACAAATTCAATCCAATCGAATCTCATGGAAGAAAACATCTTACTTACCGACGAACTTGGAGAAAGGATGGAAGGGAATCTCACTCTCATGTCATCTGATCATAGCGATATTGCCATTGATCCAGATCTACTGACTTTAAAACCAAACAGGAATATGATGGGTAGTGAAGAAAATTAGTTTATGATCACTTTATTGTCATCAGTAAATACAGGGTGTCCGCAAAGTTGGGGTTTTCCTTTACACGACGTGTAGATCTTGAAAACATAAGCAATTTTTCTTAATACCATATACACCAATGTCTTAAGGGAACCGAGATAAAGGGCTCTGCAACATCAAAAATATCTGAATACCGTCCTGTAGCCGCGACCCGCCGCGATCTCCCCGACTGGTACAAGGTCTCAACCCGACGGCAGAACTGGGTCGGGGTCAGTGTGCAACCTTCAACCGACGGTTACGGTCACGCGTGTAGAGGTAATCGCGTAGACGAGAATCCCTCAACAAGCACTAGAGACGTGGCTAGAGAAGTGCAAGTATCAAAAACTAAAGTGTGGCAAACGCTGCGTGAAGAGGGGCTGTATCCAACGTGTACAAGCCCTTCAACCTGACGAGTTCCCAGCACGAGTGCGGTTTTGCATCAACATGACAATAATCCGGACTTTTTGAAGTACATATTGGTGACAGACGAATCTACGTTCACGCGTAATGGGGTGAATAACTTTCGCAACACTCATGTTTGGTCATTACGCAGCATTTTGCCTTCCTTGTTTGCCTGCGTCTGCTCGGTAGCGCATCAGCTGATTTCATTTTCTGTTGGAGCGGTATGATTTCGGGCAGAGACGTACTTAGCCCTTCTCGTCAGCTGCAGAGCGAGTACTTTTTCCTTTATTCTTTTTTTACTTGGTCGCCCTCGTTTCACTACACATTACCTTTGTTATTTCAAGGGTAGTTGTTTCTGAAAAGGAAAACCCCAACTTTGCGGACACCCTGTATTATTGTTTTCGCAATCATAGGTAATCGTTATAAGCAATTTTGTTAAAATATTTATTATGTATGTTACAGACGTATCGTGATAATGTATGAGTATATAACAAATAATTATACGAGTAATTTATTTCTCCCAAATCGTAACTTCTTGAAGATATATTGAAACACAACTCGTGAATAATATTTTATTAGCGTTTTATCTAACATTACAATTCCTTTAAGATATTCTATCATTAAATTGGCATCAACTGCCAACTGGCGTGTAAGGGTTTTATTTTGAATTTCAATTCAGTGTCTTTCCAGTATGAAGTCAGTCTTGCATGTGGTTTTTCGAACCGCATTGTTGAATAAAAGTAGGCCGACCCTCATACCCCAAAACCAGAGTATACATTCCCTATGGTTTTTGATTACTGAATCCGAATCCCCGGTGCAAATCTGCAATTTTTGCCGATATTTCAGGTTATGTACCATTACGAATCATCTTTTGCAAAAACCTATAGACATCGTCTCAAAGTACAAGCCTTGCCCTTTCAAATGCTTTTAAGTTTGCTTAAATATCCTTTGTTTTTGCTTGAGTGTTTTCTTTGAGTCTAGGGTACGGTAAGTTGGGGGCTTGTGGTTTGAGGAATTTTTAGATATTTTGTGGATTTAGTGTTGAGGAATTATGGATTTTTCAGTTATCAGGACTAATTTCATAAACATTTATTAACTTGTTATTAAATTTTTGGTGTATTATAGTGATATTATAGTGTAGAGCCGGTTTTTTCAAGCGGTGGTTCGGGAGTTATAAGAAGGGGGTTCACGAAAAAATTATGGTAATGGCGGAATTTGTCCTCAATATTGCAACATCGCCGCTACAACAATCCGGCAAGAGTTCTACTTCGGCGAGTCAAGCGCACCAAGACCTTTCTGAGAATGCACTGGAAAGAACGAGAGTAACGTCTGCAGATATAAAAGTTCGCAGTCACGGAAGTACGAGTACAGTCAAACGCGCTTCGTGAGCCGTATGCATGTCGAACGTGAAATTAAACAAATATGTATAATAATATTCTGTAAATTTAAGAAGGTGAGTTGGTTAAAAACGGACAGTTTTGTGAACTCTGACGAAAAGCCAGACGAGCAATCAACTACTGCTTCTTCTTCGGTTCCCGATTTGGGTCCAATACAGGGTGGCACCAGAATAAAAGTAATGAGAAAATAGACAATCATGGTGGAAAAAAGGAAAGAAACGAAAATACGACATTGACTATTTGCAAATGGGTTTTTGTTTCACCGAAGAAGAGTCAGAACCTAAACCGCTTCGTGTAATTTGTAATGAAGTTCTGGCCGGCAGTAGTTTAAAACCATCGCTTCTCCGTCGGCAACCTGAGACAAGACATCCGGATTACAAGGATAAACCTATTGACTATTTTAAAAGGAAATTGGAAGGTTATAAAAATTTTAGTTTTTCTTCTTTCCTGTCGGCTTTCAACGCAGATAGTAAAATTTCTCTTGAAGCATCATTTCGAGTTAGTTACAGAATCGCAAGATCTGGAAAACCTCATACAGTGGCAAAAAATCTGATCTGACCTTGTGCTAAAGACAACGCAATGTGTATGCTTGGAGAAAAAGCGGCATAAAAATTGACCTTGTGCTCTTGTCACGGAGAATTAACGATTTGGCGAACAGTGCTGAAAGTGATCTTTTGAAAAGAATAAAATTGTATTATTTTTCCATTCAGCTTGACGAGTCGACCGATGTAACAAACTGTGCAATATTGCTCGTGTATGTTAGATATATTTTTAAGAATTCCATTCAAGAAGATGTGTTATTTACACAACCACTGGAAACGTATACGACTGGTGCAGCAGTTTTCAATCTGAACAATGACTATTTTGAAAAACATATCAACTGGTCATTTTGCTTAGGCAAAATTAATGACTGGAACATATTCTGGTCTTGTGGCACGTATAAAGAAGATAAACGGGAATATACAGGGTGACTTCGAAGTTGAGTACATTTATTTTAACAGTGAGTAGATCTGATCAAAAGAAATGTTTTTTTTCCTTTACCATTTTTCTGGTAAAATTAAAGTAACAAAGTTATAGCCCTTTGGAAGTTTGAGTACCGCCCTGTCTCAATAATAATATTATGTGCTCGTGTTTGGCAACAACGGATATAATCCGCCTTATCGGTTCATCGCATCGGAAACGAAAAAGCGAAAGAATTTGGAACGATGTTTTTACAATTATTTTATTCAGTTGTATACAGTCAGTGTCAGTCGGTAACGCGTGAGTGAATACTGGCGTCTGTTGCGTGGCTCAAACGAAATAAAAAATGGCACATGTTTATGCGGATCGGTTTCCCAATCGAGTGCAACCAACCCCTCGTGCCTTTGTTAATGTAGTACAACGGGCTCGTGAATCAGGTGACTTAAGACCTCACAGGGGACGGCATGCCGGTGCTCCAAGATCTCACGATCAAATACAGGTCCGCACTGAAATACTTGTCGGGAGGATACTTTATAAAACAAGGTAATTTTTTTTTTAATTTTTTTTTATTTTTACACACATATTTTGGTTTATCTTCCTTCTACAATCATTATCTGAAAATTAATGACTCAACTTCAAAGTCGCCCTGTAGAATGGACTCACTGCTGTGTTCATAGGCAAGCATTGACATGTAAGCGTATTCCTATATAGTTAGCCAGTACTTTAAGCGAAGCTTTAAAAGTTGTGAATTTTATAAAGTCCCGTGCTACAAATTCTCGTCTATCCGTGAACTTTGTGCGTACTTGAGAAGTCTCCACGTCTCTTTATTACTTCATACAGAAGTTAGGTGGGTTTCTCGTGGCAAAATATTGACCCGCTTGCTTGAATTGAAGTCTGAAGTTCAGGCATTTTTTCTTGGCCATCCATTTCATTTGTCCGCTTCTGTATCCGACATTCTGTGACTACAAAAACTTGTATATCTGACCGATATTTTTTCTAAATTAAATGAAGTAGATATGTTTTTACAAGGTCCAGGAATCACCATTTTCAATATTCATGATAGAGCAAGAGCCATGCTAAAGAAGTTCAACTTTTTGAATCAATGTCTGCAGATGAATGAGTACGATTGTTTTGGTTCTTTCAGCAGCTTTTTATCAGAGAATAAAATTCAACTTAACCAAAACATTAAAAACATCTTAAACAGCTTTAGTTAACGTTCAAAGAGTATTTTCAAATTCAAAATATTTATTTCGTCATGAATAAACATCATAAACAAAGGAAATTCTACGATATAGAGCAATGACGAAAAAGGACAGTCTCTCGATTATAAAACCGTTACATTGGACCCTTTAATACAAAGAGTCCATGCGAGAAAGCACTGATCAACATGGATCAAACAACTGGATACGCAGCCCTTTTGCAAAAGATATAATTTCGCACTTCTTTATCTTTATTGGTAAAAGAAAATCTCTTTGATGTATCTTCTGACAATTCTCTGAATGCTGTTTTTGCGGATCATTCTTTAATAGACTTCTGGCTCAATGTAAAAAATGAATACCCTATATTAGCAGAAATTTTGTTACCGTTCTGCACAAACTATCTGCGTGAGAAAGGATTTTCAACATACACTTACCTCAAGGATAAGTATAGATATAGATTAAATGCAGAACCCGATCTAAGACTTAAGCTTTCAGACATTGAGTCAAGTTGTGAATTTATTTGTTCCAACAAACAAGAACAAATATCCCATTGAGGATTTTTGCAAGTATCGAATTACTTGTATTCATATTATATTAATCCTTTTTTTTGTAAGGCTTCGTCAGTTTTAATAACGTTTCTCTGAATGTTTTACGTTACAGCTATGTTTTAATTTATTTTTTATTGTTCATATGACTAATAAATTTTGATAACAGCCAAATAGTACTGTTTTATTTACTCTCATTAACGACTGCTCAGGGGGTTCGCCGATATTTTCCAATTTTTATAAGGGGTTCGCAGAATAAAAAAGGTTGGGAACAGCTGGTGTAGAGGATTAAGTATAGGGTGTCCGCAAAGTTGTGGTTTTCCTTTACACGACGTGTAGATCTTGAAAACATAAGCAATTTTTCTTAGTACCATATACACCAATGTCTTAAGGGAACCGAGATAAAGGGCTCTGCTACATCAAAAATATCTGAATACCGTCCTGTAGCCGCGACCCGCCGCGATATCCCCGACTGTTACAAGGTCTCAACCCGACGGCAGAACTGGGTGTGTCAGGTCAGTATGCAAGCTTCAACCGACGGTTACGGTCACGCGTGTAGAGGTAAACGAACTCGTATAATCGATTACGTTTCAAAAAACAACAAGCACTAGAGACGTGGCTAGAGAAGTGCAAGTATCAAAAACTAAAGTGTGGCAAACGCTGCGTGCAGAGGGGCTGTATCCGTTTCACGTCCAACTTCAACCTGACGATTTTCCAGCAAGATTGCGGTTTTGTGAGTGGTTGTTGCATCAACATGACAATAATCCGGACTTTTTGGAGTGCATATTGGTGACAGACGAATCTACCTTCACGCGTAATGGGGTGATTAACTTTCGCAACACTCATGTTTGGTCATTTTCAACAAACACTTTCAGTGAATGTTTGGGCTGGCATGGTGATCGGTATGCTCATTGGACCATTTATTCTCCCAAATCGATTGGACGGGATGCAATACCTAGACTTTTTACGCAACATTTTGCCTTCCTTGTTTGCCTGCGTCTGCTCGGTAGCGCTTCAGCTGATTTAATTTTCTGTTGGAGCGGTATGATTTCGGGCAGAGACGTACTTAGCCCTTCTCTTCAACTGGAGAGTGAGTACTTTTGCCTTTATTTTTTTTACTTGGTCGCCCTCGTTTCACTACACATTACCTTTGTTATTTCAAGGGTAGTTGTTTCTGAAAAGGAATACCCCAACTTTGCGGACACCCTGTATAGTCAAATTCAGAAAAAATAAGTGACGTATCTCGGCGAAAACAAAAAATATTTAAGCAAAGTCAACGGTATTTGAAAGGGCAAGGCTTGTACTATAAAATGATGTACATACATAAATGGTTCTTTCGAAAAAAGAAATAATCATCATACCACATAACCTCAGATTTAGGCAAAAACAGCTATTTTTGCACATTTAGGTTGGGATATCTCTGTAACTAGCGCAAATTGAGGGATTTGGATCACGGATTCAGATTCAGTGTATCAAAAGTAGTATAGTATACTTTGGTGTACGGGTTAAATTTTTATCGGCCTATGTAATGGGTAGAATCACATGACTACTTCATCCAAATCTCTCCCCTTTTGTTTATGATCTGTCTTGATCTCTGTTACTTCGTCGTAGACATCTTCTTCGCCAGGTGGTCCCATCGTTGAAGAAGTGGTTATACCTGCATTTTCTACCCCAGGTTTCACACCAGCAACACCTACCATAAACAGATACTTTGACTATTTCCCTCATCTTGATTTATACCAATCACAAACGCACAATTTGTCAGCCGTCACCTGTGAGCAGTTTTTTCGAGTTTACCAGCGGCAAAACTTGACAGCTGTTGTCACCAAAAATTACAATACATTTGACAAGTAATTATGGTCTCCTAAGACACCGGGCAACGAGGCTAAGGGTGGATTTCACAATTTAACAAACCATTATTCTGCACCAATAGGGTACGAGTACCAAACAGTCCGTTAAATATACCCAATCAGCCTCAAGATCTCCCCGTCAAATTTTTGGCAGCAAATAGCATCAAAGTATTCAAAACAAAACACTGTAAGATATGAAGTGACAGCTTGCCATTGAAATCTTTTCAGTTTATTAAATATTATGAAATTATGTAAAACTGAGCCAAAATTTTTAATAATGCATGATGTCTGAGTAACAATCTATTCTTTCAGATTAGCTGAAGGTTTTTCTATGTTTACTGCAACTTTTGTAATCCATATGTGATTATATCACCTACTGTGTGCTTATAGTTTATCCTATATTTGCAAACTTGCCTTTCAAACCCTTACATGAAAAAGCCTTTTCACTCCAATTTTTGTTAGGTGTTGCATTTCAACAGATTCATACACTTCTTTCCAGTTCCTCGACGATATTTTAACCCCACTGGTCCGAAACTGTTCAACAGTTTCAACATTCATACATACAATTGCAGTTGCAGTTTTTTGTTTTAATTTCACTGTATAATCAGTCGCACCATCGGTGATGGTACATTCAACATAACCATGTATTTAGGGGTTCGTGAAGATTTAACGTGTACACGACGTCATCATTAGGCGCTCCTCTGGCGATGCCCGATTGCGTTCAGGTGTCTTCTGCAGGTACCCCTTCCTCAATGAATCGCACAAAAAACAAGTCCAAGGCAGAAAAACTCACCCGAAGATGAACACCAAAACAAATCTCTACCGCAAATTCAGTTACGTTAAGTCGTGCATGTACCCATATTCAGTAATTACTAATATACTAAGTGACATATAAATCCGAAGACCCAGTTTAAATGGTTTTATTTTAATAAAAGTTGGTGAATGTATTTATCTTACTGTAAATAACAAGTGAAAACATTTTCAGCCTTATCAGTTGGACATTCCGCTTTTTGTACTGCTTTTTTTTTAATTCACTAACGCTCTAAAAATGAATATTTCAGCCGCAGTAAAGAATCAACGTTGGCGGATTTTGGTTCTTGACATCCTTTACGATCGGTTACGATGCCTAGAGTACGGAGACCTGTACGATTTCGTCAACTTAGTGAGTTTGATAGGGGCCGTATAGTGGGACTTCGGAAAGCTGGACTTTCTTTTCGGGCAATTGCAGTTAGAGTGGAAAGAAGTGTAGACACTGTGGTTAGATGTTGTCAGGCATGGCTTCGAGAAGGCCGTACGCAAAGAGCAAGGGGCACTGGACGCCGCCGTAGAACAACAGACCGTGAAGATCGCCGCCTAAGATTATTGGCCTTAAGGGACCGTTTCTTCACTACCAGGTCGATTGTAAATGAATGGTTTGCAGAACACGGAAGACCTGTTGGCATGCGACGTGTTTACCGACGAATGAGAAGTTTTGGCTTGTTTTCATACCGGCCACACTGGGTCCTCCCTTTAACTCGAGAACACCGACGTAATCACCTTGAGTGGTGCAGACAACGGTCACTCTGGGATCAGGAATGGAACAGTATTGTCTTTAGTGACGAGTCTCGATTTTGTTTAGGCATGCACGATGGTCGTGCCAGGGTTAGAAGGCGACGTGGTGAAAGGAGGAATCCACAGTTTTTTGTTGAAAGACATTTTCATCACACTGTTGGAGTTATGGTTTGGGGTGCTATAGCTTATGGTTCCAGGTCACCTTTAATCTTCATCAGAGGTAACATGAACGCGCAGCGTTATATCCACGAAGTTCTAGAACCCCATCTTTTACCCTATCTTGAAACCCTGGCAGATCCAACTTACCAACAAGATAATGCCCGACCACATGTTGCAAGAGTCACAATAGGCTTCTTTCAACATAATGATGTCACATTGTTACCATGGCCACCAAGATCTCCCGACTTATTCTATTAAAATAACACCATTTAAACTGGGTGTTCGGATTTATATGTCACTTAGTATATATGTAAAAATGAATGATTAGACATTTATTTTTTAGTAATAAATAATTTGTTGAACTAACCATCTAGGCCCATGCGCATGCAGTCAAAATGTAAGACCAGCAATGTTCCTCCCTCAATGCGCGTTTCAAAGTCAAGGCACATGTGCAGATTTGCTCCTGGTGTGTAGATGTCGTACAGCCTGGCGCAAGCTTGGATGTCTATTGGAATGTATGGAATGGGTATTGGGATGCATAGCGGTGGGGGATTTTTAGCTGATCAAACAAAAAACAAGTGAAATATTATTAAAACGATCTGGTCCACTGGGCTACTAAGTCAAGACTCAGAGCGTATATCACACGTCGTCTGTAAATTAAGTGATGAGACTGATTTTTTTTTATCAAAATTCCTTAAAACATAGAAATACCTCGGCGTTTGAGAAAACACTATCTCCTTGGGCCGGTTTAGCAAGAGTTTTTGTTGCCCTGATCACAAAAGAATCGCTACGGACAACCAAATGGCTCAAGCGAGTTCAAACTTGTACTGAAGGCGGATCACATGTTCCTTTGTCTCCCCTCCAAGCCCGATGCCTCCAGTGTCGCCAGATCGAAAGCCACGTTGCCAGTCTCATCACTTAATTTACATACCTCTACGTTTCACATATTATACAGGGTGTCCCAGAAGTCAACGTCCAGCCGAAACCGGGTGATAGGCAAAGTCATAACAGCTATCAGAAAAATATTTAAAAAAATTTTATGTATGTGTTTTGAAAATTATAGGTATTTGAAAAAAATATAGAAATTTCACACCCTACGGCAGTCTGTCAACTCCTGTTACTACAAATATTAACTTTTTTTGGATTTTATTTTTACAATGTAATGATGAATAATGCATCTTCAAAGTAGTGTCTCAACCTTACTGCCAACTTTTCTCGTTCAGGAAAAATTGCCACTTATTTCCCAACCAAGTATTCCAAAGTAAAACTTTGCTCATCTTTACCTGGCTGTACTGGAAAAAAATGTACTACGAGAGTTTGGCAAGTAACCTTAAAAATTGGCGCATTTAATAAGGATTCCAAAATGGTACAACACTTAGAAGATTACCCGTTAACTTACGCACAATTTTTATTTGAAGAAAAACTGATGAAAATTATTCAAAATTTCCTAGTTAAACAGCGATTATGAAAACGCACAAGGACCCTTAAGGATAACTGTTAGCACAACAGTGGGCGTCAAAATGCTGCTGATGATGATTTACCTTTACAGCAAATGCTCAAACTGTTTTCCTTCAGCCACAATACACACTCGACATCTTCTTAAAAACGATCGGGTTATTAAACGAGCGAATCCACGGTTATTAACAAACTCAGCTGCTTCCAATAGTCTTTGCCGTAGCTCAGCTACATTTTGAATCGGCTTGAAATACACTTTTTCTTTTACAGTTCCCCAGTAAAAAAATCTAAAAGATTCAAATCGGGTGATCGGGCTGGCCACGGTATTGTACCAGACCGCCTTATCCATCTGCCTGGAAAGTTTTGATCGAGATACTCTCTCACTGAGAGTGCATAGTGCGCTGGGCAGCCATCATGCTGAAACCACATGTCCCTGTAAATAGTCAGTGGCACGTCCACCAATAAATTTTGTACATGTTTTTTAAAAAAATCGAAATAAACTTCAGCAATCAAAGTCTCTGGGAACTCAAACGGACCGATTATTTTACCATTTAAAATTCCTGTCCAATGGTTTATCTTGAAGCGATATTGAGATTTATCTTCTCTCATCAAATGTGGGTTTGCTACGTGCCACTCGTGTAAGTTATGCAGGTTCATGTACCCATCTTTCTTAAATGTGGTCTCATCCGACCATAAAATTTGTTCAAAGAACTGTGGATCTTTCCTGTGTCTTTCTAACATTGTGCGACAAAAAGCAACTCGGGGCTCATAATCACCTGATTTGAATCCTTTAGATTTTTTTACTGGGGAACTGTAAAAGAAAAAGTGTATTTCAAGCCGATTCAAAATGTAGCTGAGCTACGGCAAAGACTATTGGAAGCAGCTGAGTTTGTTAATAACCGTGGATTCGCTCGTTTAATAACCCGATCTTTTTTAAGAAGATGTCGAGCGTGTATTGCGGCTGAAGGAAAACAGTTTGAGCATTTGCTGTAAAGGTAAATCATCATCAGCAGCATTTTGATGCCCACTGTTGTGCAAACAGTTATCCTTACGGTCCTTGTGCGTTTTCATAATCGCTGTTTAATTAGTAAATTTTGAAAAATTTTCATCAGTTTTTCTTCAAATAAAAATTGTGCATAAGTTAACGGGTAATCTTCTAAGTGTTGTACCATTTTGGAATCCTTATTAAATGCGCCAACTTTTAAGGATACTTGCCAAACTCTCGTAGTACATTTTTTTCCAGTACAGCCAGTTAAAGTTGAGCAAAGTTTTACTTTGGAATACTTGGTTGGGAAATAAGTGGCAATTTTTCCTGAACGAGAAAAGTTGGCAGTAAGGTTGAGACACTACTTTGAAGATGCATTATTCATCATTACATTGTAAAAATAAAATCCAAAAAAAGTTAATATTTGTAGTAACAGGAGTTGACAGACTGCCGTAGGGTGTGAAATTTCTATATCTTTTTCAAAGACCTATAATTTTCAAAACACATACATAAAATTTTTTTAAATATTTTTCTGATAGCTGTTATGACTTTGCCTATCACCCGGTTTCGGCTTGACGTCGACTTCTGGGACACCCTGTATATGTATATTCATTTACGAAAAAAAAATGACTCGAACAGTAGCTACATTGTTAAAAAATGTTCCCAGGAAACGTTAAGGGCAGACTCAACAAATCTAAAAAAACGTTTCCGTAATACCAATTTAAACTTGTCCGTATTTGATGTTATGCGTGCCAGTGGTTTCTGCAGAAATAAATGTGTTCTCAAAGCTATACTGATTGGCGTTGAAAAGTGTATCTTGAAGCTTTTTGTTATGTGACAAGAGCGCCCATCTCGGTTATTATTTTTTCATAACGATAAAGATTGATGTAAATTATTTCCGAGAGTCTGAATGTAATACTCCAAGAATCAATTTTCAAATAATAGAATCAATCTGGCTTTCAGATACTGTTACTATTATTTTTGCAAAAATCATCAAATTCTTTAATGCTGGCACTAACATCACATGATGAAAGAGGTTTAGAAATTAGTTTTGTTCACGCTAATGTTCTTTTTAGGAAGATCAGAACTCAATATCTTAATCTGTTTTCAAAAAAATGTACGGTACGCTGTCAAATATGGTAGCTGTTCCTTATTCTGTATCTGTAGCTAGATTAGGAAAAATACCGTAAAATGCTTGGTTACTTACCAGAAAAAGCATTTGAAAATACGTTATTTTCATTCATGTAGACATCCATACCCACAGCAAAATCTTGTGGATAGTATGTGAAATTCATACATCCTGCAAAATAACAACCTCTAAGAAGTAGAAAATGTTAAGATCCGATATTTTGATTTCAGGGAAGAGCCTCAAGACCGCATGTCCATTTTTTCAACCATTTGCAGCAGTATTCTGAACCGTTTTCATCTGATCATTTCATGGTGCGCATAGAGATGACTAAAAAACGTGATCAATTTTTTTATCAAAAAAGCATTTTTTGTGTTTTTTTCTTCAATCGTGACTTGTCAACAAATATTAGTACAACTGTGAAATTGTATGTGAATATTCCACTTTTATGGAAGATCATAAAAAACATATATGTGGTTTATTGGTAGATTTCTCTCGTGCTTTCGATTATGTGGACCATGGGCTACTTCTTTTCAAACTGCACAGGTATGGAATACGTGGTTTGCCATTGCAGCTGTTTCGCTCTTATACAGGGTGACTTCGAAGTTGAGTCATTTATTTTAACAGTGAGTAGATCTGATCAAAAGAAATGTTTTTTTCCTTTACCATTTCTCTGGTAAAATTAAAGTAACAAAGTATAGCGCTTTGGAAGTTTGAGTACCGCCCTGTCTCAATAATAATATTATGTGCTCGTGTTTGGTTCATCGCATCGGAAACAAAAAAGCGAAAGAATTTGGAACGATGTTTTTACAATTATTTTAGTCAGTTGTATACAGTCAGTGTCAGTCGGTAACGCGTTTGAATAGTGGTGTCTGTTGCGTGGCTCAAACGAAATAAAAAATGGCACATGTTTATGCGGATCGGTTTCCCAATCGAGTGCAACCAACCCCTCGTGCCTTTGTTAATGTAGTACAACGGGCTCGTGAATCAGGTGACTTAAGACCACACAGGGGACTGCATGCCGGTGCTCCAAGACCTCACGATCAAATACAGGTCCGCACTGAAATACTTGCCGGGAGGATACTTTATAAAACAAGGTAAAAAAATTTTTTTTATTTTTTTATTTTTACACACATATTTTGGTTTATCTTCCTTCTACAATCATTATCTGAAAAATAATGACTGAACTTCAAAGTCACCCTGTATACTAAGTGACATATAAATCCGAACACCCAGTTTAAATGGTTTTATTTTAATAAAAGTTGGTGAATGTATTTATCTTACTGTAAGTAACAAGTGAAAAAATTTTCAGCCTTATCAGTTGGACATTCCGTTTTTTATACTGCTTTTTTTTAATTCACTAACGCTCTAAAAATGAATATTTCAGCCGCAGTAAAGAATCAACGTTGGCGGATTTTGGTTCTTGACATCCTTTACGATCGGTTACGATGCCTAGAGTACGGAGACCTGTACGATTTCGTCAACTTAGTGAGTTTGCTAGGGGCCGTATAGTGGGACTTCGGGAAGCTGGACTATCTTTTCGGACAATTGCAGTTAGAGTGCAAAGGAGTGTAGACACTGTGGTTAGGTGTTATCAGGCATGGCTTCGAGAAGGCCGTACGCAAAGAGCAAGGGGCACTGGACGCCGCCGTAGAACAACAGACCGTGAAGATCGCCGCCTAAGATTATTGGCCTTAAGGGACCGTTTCTCCACTACCAGGTCCATTGCAAATGAATGGTTTGCAGAACACGGAAGACCTATTGGCATGCGAAGTGTTTACCGACGAATAAGAAGTTTTGGCTTGTTTTCATACCGGCCACACTGGGTCCTCCCTTTAACTCGAGAACACCGACGTAATAGCCTTGAGTGGTGCAGACAACGGTCACTCTGGGATCAGGAATGGAACAGAATCGTCTTTAGTGACGAGTCTCCATTTTGTTTAGGCATGCACGATGGTCGTGCCAGGGTTAGAAGGCGACGTGGTGAAAGGAGGAATCCACAGTTTTTTGTTGAAAGACATGTTCATCACACTGTTGGAGTTATGGTTTGGGGTGCTATAGCTTATGGTTCCAGGTCACCTTTAATCTTCATCAGAGGTAACATGAACGCGCAGCGTTATATCCACGAAGTTCTAGAACCCCATCTTTTACCCTATCTTGACACCCTGGCAGATCCAACTTTCCAACAAGATAATGCCCGACCACATGTTGCAAGAGTCACAATAGACTTCTTTCAACATAACGATGTCACATTGTTACCATGGCCACCAAGATCTCCCGACTTATCCCCAATTGAGCACGTGTGGGATATGATGGGTAGGAGATTGCTCAATTTGCAACGTCCTCCTCAGACTCTAGAAGCACTTCGAGAGGAGTTGGTGGTTGCCTGGAATGAGATACCACAGGAAGACATTGACCACCTGATAAGAAGCATGCCTAGGCGCGTTGGAGAATGCGTAGCACATCAGGGTGTATCCACACATTATTAAAGGTCAAAGGGCTTTAAAGCAGTGCAATAATTTTGAAATTTTTATCATTTACTTATTATGCTTCATTAAGTACTTATACAAAATTTTATTAAAATAAAACCATTTAAACTGGGTGTTCGGATTTATATGTCACTTAGTATATTACATAAAGAAAACTACGCGTTTGGGTCAACGGTACCAAGATTGAAACATCAGAAGCAAACATCGGTGTGCCACAGGGTTCAATTCTAGGACCATTTTTGTTTCTGTTGTATGCTAACGATTAGTCCGACTTTATATCTGAAGCTGGTCCTAAATATAAGGTTGTGGCATATGCAGATGACACCAATGTCTTGGTTACCAGTCCAAACATCACCGAGCTGCCGGAAATGGCTGAGAGAGCATACAACAGAATCATTAAATGGTCTGAAAATAACTTCCTCCGAGTAAACACAGAAAATACCAGCATTATGAAATTCGCATTAAAAGATGAACAAGATTTCAACATTTTTGATCATACTAACAGAGCTATTCCATCATCTAAGTCAGTTAACATGCTGGGGATGATACTTGATTGTCGAATGTCGTGCGGGTTCCACGTTGAGTGTTTGTGCAATAGATTGCGAAAGAGTTGCTATGGCTTGAAATTCTTAGCAAAGCAGTGCAGTAAACGAATTTTAAAAACTTTATACTATGCCACTGTCAACTGTCATATCCGGTATGGTATTCTCAATTGGGGAAGTAGTTCACTAACTTTTCGAGTTCTCTTGCTGCAAAAATATGCCATTAGAATTATTGATAACCTTGGTTGGCACCGATCCTGTAGAGAATCCTTTAGAACACTAAAGATGTTGACTGTTATAGGTATTTACATTTATGAGTTGGCTTTGTTTGTTTTCAAAAATAAGCGCGAATTTGAAGTCCACACCAGCATGAATACCCAACTAGGTCTAAGCTGCTTTTAATCCCGCCGAGACATCGAACTACGGCATACCAAAAAACATGCAGGATATGGGATGTAAGATTTTTAATAAGCTCAATGATGATATTAGGAATGAATCAAATACAGGGTTATCCAAATTAAGTGTCCACCATTAGTAACTTTGTTATTAGTGAAAATACAAAGTTGTTTGAATTAGCAAACTAGTAGCATTTTTAACGCTGGTAAAAATGAGAAATAAAAAAAAAACAATTGAGAGTCGTTATTTTGATTTTTTTCAGTAAAATAACATTTTTTTAAATGGAAACCCCTGTATATTATTTTTTTCTGTTAAAGCATCAAATTTTAAACAAAAAAGTTCATAATGACTTTTCCGCTAAAGTCAAAAATAAAGTCAAAATAACGATAAATATTTTTAATTATTTGCAGTATTATAATATTAAGACGGCTATGAAAACAACATGGCGTTCGCGATTTGAAAGCATCAAGACAAGCGACAAATTGTTAAACTGGACATACTCGCAACTAGAAGGCTTTGGAAAACAATGATAAAATCAAATAATGTCAAACATTAGTGTAAATACTTGTTTATAAGCTTTATTGTGTCATTAATTTAAAGAAAAATGTTCTCCCATGAAGAAAAGTGTGATATGTTAGAATGCTATTTAGTGTGCAGAAAATCCTCCTTGAGAGCAAGAGTGAATTATATCCCGCTCGCATTCAACCGTATGAACGATATTTTCTGAGACTTTATCGAAAATTTAGGGGCAACGAAAATGTTTTTGCTAAAACAAGGGCAAAAAAAGAATTCATAATAAGCGAGGCCACGGAAATTGCAGTTATTGGATATTTTGAAGCTTATCGTGAGAATTCAATAGCAGATATTCTCAAGGACTCTAATTTCAGTTATGGTACTGTTCAAAGGATTTTAAAAAAATACAAATTTATTCCGTATAAGTACCGACCAGTTCAAACGGTTTTGGCAGGGGATCCAGAGAGAAGACTTGTTTTTTGCCATTGGTATCTTAGCTTCTGTCGCCAAAATGTAAATAACTTTCGTTACCTTCTATGGACAGATGAATCAAATTTTTCAAATTCTGGAATGTTTAATAGAAAAAACCACCATTATTGGTCAAGAGAAAATCTTTTGTTAGTACATCCAAGAGGCCCGCAAGTCCGTTTCAGTTTCAACGTTTGGTGCGGTATAATTGGTTCAAAAATTGTTGGCCCGTTCTTTTATGAGGGAACCCTAACTGGTGAAAGATATGTGGAATAGATGTCAGAAATTCTGACTAATTTCTTAGACGAATTGGATCTTATAAGTAGACATCATCTGCATTTTCAGCAAGATGGCGCACCTGCCCACAACTCCAGAGGTACTTATCATTTTCTAAGTACTACTTTTAATGATCAGTGGATAGGAACAAATGGCCCAATACAGTGGCCTCCCAGATCACTAGATCTAAACCCACTTGATTACTTCGTGTGGAACCAAATTTACAAGCGAAGGTACGATAACCTTGATGCGTTAAAGACTGCAGTTAGGGAAAAGATAACCCAGATAGATGGTAGGACCATACTTAAGACAGTTCGAGCAGTTGAAAAACGTGCCCAAAAATGTATTGAAGAACAAGGTGGTGTTTTCGAGCATCTTCTTTAAAAAAAATTGTTATTGTATTTTGTAAGATTATAAGTTGATGTTGAAAATAAAGTTTGTCGATACAATTTAATTGTTTCAGATTGGAGGCCATAACTTCAACAATTTG